CTCCCAGATGAAATTGAGCACATCTTCTTGAGACAATCCATAAAAGGTAGGTGTTGTTTAAGATGGACCCTCTTCAAGTCATAGTTCCAAGCCGCCTCTCAGAGCACGAAGCACAAAGTTTTGTTGTGCGAAGTGCCGCAAGTTTAGGGATGACGACGATCCTTCTCGATCCTCCACGTCGATTTGTTCAGGCTCAAGATTTGGTTGTTGGATTTTTGGTTCATCAACTTCGGGTGTGTCTACGGACGTCATCCTCATCGGCGTCTACCTCGAAGAAACAACAACACGAACTATGCCCGTGAACGCACCAATGGTAAGCAATAAATCAAAACAAACAAATAATATAAAATAACTAGAAAGCTACTAAAACAAGAGAAACACATTAATGAAAAAAAATTCCACCAAAAAAAAAAAAAACACGAAAACTAAGGCAACTAATCAATGAAGTTTGGCATCCTAATTTTCCTCCCTGACAACGTCGCCATTTTGTTGAGTATACATTTGTTTAACCAAGCATCAGCGAAAACTCCAAGCCTGTGTCGTCTTCTCAAAGCGGGACTATTTGGAGTAAACCTCATAACTAACAGCAAAGCACATATGGGGAAAACAAAGCATAAACATCATAATCACATTGATTGGTTGAGATTTTAACTAAAATTAATCAAGAGAATTAAAATGAGCAATTAACTAAGAAAGCAATCTAAAGCATAAAACGAGTCACCAAGACAAATAGTCTGGAAGAAGAAGAATGGATTGAGAAATAATAGTTAAACAAGTGCTAGGACAATGAGGACCTAAATTCGAGCATTCAATCCTGCATAGTTAAGCTTCTAACAAAGTCTCGACTTTTGTACTTAATATGAACAAAATTCAAACCACAAATTATCCTAGATTAGAAATCACTTTTAAAAAGGCAAGAACCCTAGTTTACCTGGAATATCTTCATAAAGTAAAAACAAGCAATTGACGAACTAATCTCGACCGAAGTCCTTATGCTTCCAGTTGATTGCAACGCAAGTGAAAAAAGATCAAGTCTGCATACAAAAAGAAAACATGAAAAATGGAGTGTTGCAGCTCAGGATTTCCCAAAGAAAAATTACAAATCAAAAGGAAAATCTAAAATGTAAAAGTACCAAATGAAGTAAAGATGATGAAATAGTGAAGGACATTTTTTTTATATACTAATAGCCAGAACAAACACTGAAAAATGCACATTAAATGAAAAACACTCACAGTTCAGCTAATAGTTCACTGGCTATGAATGGTCTTGTAATTCAGGCTGAAGGATTCATGGTTCAGTGGGGCATTGGTGGGTAGGTGAATATGCTTGTGGGGCATCACGAAACTCGTGCCACAACAGGCATCTCACAAGAGAGCGAGCATCGTGCGTGGTCCATGTGAACTCAAGCCTCAACAGACATTTGGTGGGTTAACAGGTGGCTTGAGTGATTTGGGTGAAACTTGCGCCCCAACGAGCAATTGGCGAGCCAGAGAGTACGCGGGCAGACGAGCAAGACAATGACGCTTTAACAAGTTGTTGGCGGGGCAACAAGTGTTGGCTATACGAGATGGCATGTACTTGCGCCTCGACGACGCATTGGCGAGCCAACGAGTGTCGAAGTTGAACTCGTGCCCCAACAAATATTTGGTAGGACAAGGAGTGGCACAAGCGACGTGGGTCTTGAACTCGTACATCGGCGACTACTAGGCAAGCCAACGAGTGATGCTCGAACTCAGATGACTAGACTTGCGCTTCGGTGACTTTGTGCGGGCTGGCTTGACGAGTTCTAGACCCAATCCTAACCATTAAATATAGAACAAGATGTGTGGCTAAGATTTAATTTTTAATTTTGTTTAATATTGATTTGACAGTTGAATGTCGACGTTAACTGTTGACTTTTGACATTAATCTTTGACTTCTAGTCGACAGTCGATGTTGACCTTAATACTATAGTATAAATTATCTATAAACGTATGAATTGTGTATGAAGTAAATGTGTACTAAAAAATATGCAATTGTTATGAACAAAATATGCATTTTTTATTAACTAAATGTGCAATCGTATATGCAATAGATATCAACTAAGTATGCATTGTTTATGAACTAAATATGCATTATGTATGAACTAAATGTGTTGTCAAAATATGCAATTGATAGCAATATCCTGAAGCCTTACTGCAACTAAGTATGCATTATGTATGAACTAAATATGCATTATGTATTACTTAAATATTTATAATGAATGGACTACATATGCATTATGTATTAGATTAGTTATATAATAAAAATAATAAGTATATTACATTAATTATATAATAAAAAATAAATTAACCGATTTCACCGTTGACCGCCAATCAATGTCGGTCAATTAATTTTTATTATATAATCAATTTAAATATAATAATTATTATTTTATTATATAATTATTATAAATTCTAATTAATTAATATGAATAATTAATTCTACACAAATCAATGACTAGGATTGAGCCTCACATCCCGATTTTAAAGAAAAGACCTATTGGATCCACCTCTAAAGAAAAAATGGGGAAACCAAAACTCACAATAAAAATAGATTGAAAGTACGCATCAAAGTATAAGAGAAAAAAAAAAAATGAAGCAAAGATGAACATGTTTTCTTCCCTGATCTGTTGTATCTGGTCAATGATAAACCAATCTGATTTTCTTTCATCAACAGATCTAACATTTTTTCTTGTCCATACTTTGCTCTTTTCAAATGAAGACCACATTCACACTTACCAAATTAGGCTGGATTTTTTTCCCTACCATCTTCGTGTGTGGTCTATGTATTCAAAGGCGGCGCGGAAATAAGAATTTATAGTAAGTTTGACCCTACCTTGTGGGCTTTATTAGTTGCATCATTTTTACACTCCATTTGCGTGTGTATGGATCCAACGATAAAATCCATTTAACAAGGCCCACACAGTTGGATGAAATTTACCAAAAACTTCCCCCTATAATGAATGAACTTAATGTCCGAAAGAGATGATATCTAGGAGGGTGTATTCAATTACAACTTTTAAAGACTTTTCAAATCTCTTAAAATTTTGATGTATTCAATTGAAACTTTTTTAGACTTCTAAAGTCTATTGGTATTCAACTGAAGCTTTTAAAGACTTTTTTATAAGTTTTTAAAATACCTTAAAATTTTCTACGAGTCCCTGTAAGTCACTTGGTATTCAAAGTAGAAGAACTTGTGAGACTTTTTATATTGAAAGACTTTTGAAAACTTTTTAGATAAAATTACAAAGACAAAGTCCTAGTAGAAACCTTTTTAATTTTGTGAGATTTTGCTAGACTTATGTGTCTCTTCAACCTTTATTTTTATAGGGTTTAATGTACACAACTATATATCCCATATTACTTTGATACTCAATTATTTTTTTTTTTTTGGCCAGAACGATAGAAATGATATTAATAAAAATAAAGAGAGTACAATACAGTCCAATAGGCAACGCCTAACTAGAAAGAACAGAAAACTGGGAGATGCTACACAAAGCACCTAGAACCTCAACAGACAAAAATAACAATCCAACTGACGCAAAGTAGTATATGCATCTATCCACTGCCAAAGCCTAGCTAGATAGCACAACCACCAAAACAGCCTAAACACTAAGAAGCAAAGAAAAACTGAAAATACTATAAGAAAACTAGCTAAGAGAATACAGTAACTATCTCAGCAAGAAGAATGATGATGTGAAGGCCATCCAATCCTTATGAGCTGCTGCAACTACTATGTGTTCCGGCATAAGAGTTTTCTCAAAGATCCAGAGATTCCTGGATTTCCAAAGCCACCAAAGCAAGTAGGTGGACAATTGGATTCTTTCTTGGACTTGTATAACTTGTTTTTCATCAGAAATGTTTAAAGTGATCTTTTTATTTATTTTTATTGTGGCTATTTTATTGTATAGTTATATCTATCCTCTCGTTTGCTTGCTGATGAATTTAACATTTAAAAAATAAAGTGTTTATATATTTTGCACCTTCTAAAAATTTCACTTTCATCACTGTCTTTTGACAATTTTTTTGTCTTGTAAAAATATATCTCAATAATATATTTCTAATACTGCAACATGATGCAATAAAAAAATTTAAATAATAATCACATAAATATGTCATAATTGGGTTAGCTATGAGTGTCATTCTATCTGAGACGAGTAACTGTTGTTTAAGTTTGTGCTTGTTTAATAAATAAATATAAGGGTCAGCTCAAGGCCAACTCATTGAAGCTCGTGAAAGTCCAACCGACTTGACTTGTCTAATAAATCTAAAACCCTAAATGAGTTATTCGTAATAACAAATTGTTTATGCCAACAAGTTCGATATGATCGTGTATTATATGAAAAATATGTAATTAAAAAATGAGTAGTTCGTAAACAAACTCATTTTGGTTCATTTAAGAAATAACAACCTCGATTAGTTATTGAAGCTCAATTTATTAAATAAAACAAATTAGCCCAGCTTGAGCTTTTACGAGCAGAACCGTATTGTGTTCGCGAATAACTTAGTTCGAACAACAACTTTATGGTTCATTCATATTTTTTATAGGATTGTATAATCATCTTTCACTTACACAGTTGTAATGCTGCAAAACTTTCTTCTTTTCTTTCATCTTGTTGAATAGTTAGTGTTTACTATGAGAACTCATTTCAGTTTAGTAATTTAAAAAAAAAAGCTCGGTTTTAGTGATATTGATTATGAAGCCTATATTTATGAACATTTCATTCGAGCATAAAAGTTATACTACAAGTATATAAAAGTGTCAATAAGTTTCAAAAAGTACATGAAAGTTTTAAAATCTCTATGAAGAATTCGATGAATATTTCCGCCAGCCAAATTCATTAAAGTTTCATAAAGTCCACAAAATGCACTTTACTTTACAAGTTTTAAAAGTGTCAACTAAGTTAGTGGTACAATAGTAGAAAATCCTTTGTGTTGTCTCTTTTGCCTACATTGAATGAGTTGAATAAATTGTGTTGAACAGAATATCACCAGGTTGCCTGGTTTACCGATGAAAGAGGGTCGGGTACACATCGTCAACGATGTTAGTGATATTATTAAGCCTGCTAGGTATATTCTACTACTTTCTTCCTTGTCTTTATCAAGGTACGCTAAAATGATCATCCAATTCTTTAACATCATTTATTTTGAATTGTTTGAGTCGAGCTCTTAAAATTGTATGTTCTTTATGGCGTGAGATATGAATAAATTGTACGATGGAAGTCTCCACATTATTGGACCGGCATGCACTGTAGTTTTACTCATTCCAACTCTTGAACAAATTAATATGCGTGTTTTTTTACTTTAAGCCATTTTTTTATGTATCTAATTACATGGTTACTGGTTACAGGATGACCCTATTACTTGGTCCTCCAGGATGCGGGAAGACTACATTCTTGAAAGCTTTATCTGGAAACTTGGACAAATCGCTCAAGGTCTTTCTTTATAATTTTTTTTTTTTTTATGTTTGTTCAAATAATTGAAGATTACATCTAGCTTTTCCTTTTGATTTACTTGAAAAACATGAACAGGTAACTGGAGAGGTAACATACAATGGATATAAGCTCGGGGAATTTGTGCCACATAAAACATCATCTTACATTAGCCAATATGATATGCATGTTCCCGAAATGACTGTCAGAGAAACAATCGATTTCTCGTCTGAGTGCCAGGGTGTTGGCAGCAGACCAGGTATGTATGTATGTATGCACCCCACTTAAAATGAAACAAATACAATATATCTATCTATATATCGTACTTTTTGTCTAAAGAAATATTGGCCGAGGTCATGAGGCGTGAGAAAGCAGCAGGAATCGTTCCTGATGCACAGATAGGTTCATATATGAAGGTATTTTCTTTAATATCCCCCTTTTCTGAAAATCTATTGGTTGATTGTACATAAAAAACTTTAGTCGTGCCATCTTTTTTCCTGCAGGCAATTTCCGTTCGAGGACAAAAGACTACTCTTCAGACCGATTACATATTGAAAGTATTTTCAGAATATAAAAAGTAGTAATTAGAAGTCAATCTTTTTTACCTTACTTTGACAGTTTGTTGCATTTTTGTTTCAGATCCTAGGCCTTGATATCTGTGCCGATACACCCATTGCATGCATCTCTGGTGGTCAGAAGAAAAGACTCACAACAGGTACAAGTGTAGTCTCATTTTGTTTTCTTCTTCTTCTATTTTTTTTTTTATTAATAATAAAGGAGATTTGCGCAGCCGAGATGATGGTGGGACCCACAAGTGCTTTATTCATGGACGAGATCTCGAATGGCCTGGACAGCTTGACCACGTACTAGATTGTAAGCTGTCTCCGCCAGATGGCACACATCACGGATGCCACTATTGTTGTCTCACTCCTTCAGCCGGCCCCCGAGACATTTGATCTCTTTGACGACGTGATGTTGATGGCTGAGGGCAAAATCATCTACCACGGTCCCAAGCAAGATGTTGTAGAGTTTTTCACAAGTTGTGGATACAACTGCCCCGAGAGTAAAGGGGTGGCCAGTTTTCTCCAAGAGGCAAGCGGCTTTTCATAAAAGGAGTAAAGAAAGAGCTGAAATAAGCTTCGAGTTGTTTTTTGCAGGTTATCTCGAGAAAGGATCAGGTGCAATACTGGCATAAGTCCCAGCACCCTTACAGTTACGTGTCGATTGACGTTTTTGCCGAAAAATATAAAGAGTCAATTCACGGGAAGAGGGTAGCGGAGGAACTCTCTGTGCCTTTTGATAAGTCGATGGGCCATGAGAATGCAATTAGTTTCCACACACACTCTCTGTCCAAATGGACACTATTCAAGGCATGCATGTACCGGGAGTACCTTTTAGTAAAAAAGAATTTGTTCGTGTACTTATGCAAATCTATTCAGGTTTTTTTTTCAAAACTACTCCCACTTGTTTGATTATCATTAGGAATGTCCAAATAATGGTTCTTTTTGTGCAGCTCGTCATCATTGCAGTTGTGAGCATGACTCTGTTTGTGAGGACAGAGATGGGGGTGGACCCCGTGCATGCCAACAGCTACATGGGAGCTCTGTTTTACTCCCTTTTGGTCTTTATAGTTAATGGCATACCATACCTCTCCATGATGGTTGCCAAGGTTCCAGTTTTCTACAAACAGCGAAACTTGTACTCTTTCCCAGCATGGGCATATGCAGTCCCTGCAACCATCATCAATATTCCTTTCTCGTTGTTCAGTGCCGTTGTGTGGACATCTCTTACTTACTACGTCATTGGGTACAGCCCAGAGGCCGGCAGGTTAGCAACTAAGTGTATATAACATGCTTGCATGTACTCATATGATATATAATGTGATATTGTGCCCTTGATGTACCACGATTCCCTTATAATTTCCAGGTTTTTTCGATGCATGATTCTGATGTTTGGTGTGCACATATCTTCGATTTCTATGTTCCATCTCTTGGCATCTGTGTTCCTGTCGTTGGTTTTGTCCTCCATGGCTGGTAGTCCCGCGATTATGTTCCTGATGTTGTTTGGTGGTTTTATGATCCCACGAGGCAAGTTTTGATTATTTTATTATTGCTTTTTTTTTTGTAAGTTTTAATAGGAAACTCTAATTTGATAGACATTGCATTTTTCACAAACTCGATGCCAGATTGGTTGAAATGGGCCTTTTGGTTGTCGCCTATATCTTATGCGGAGATTGGCCTTTCAATTAATGAATTTCTATCTCCAAGGTGGCAAAACGTGAGTGAATTTGAAGATTTGTCTAAGGCCAGGTGGAGATCAATATGGTACATAAAATTTAGAAATGCGATAATTTGTCATTTTTTGTTTGAAGGCACTGTCCGAAAATACGACTGTAGGACGTTTGACACTTCAAAACCGAGGGCTGAACTTCGGGAGAAATCTTTATTGGATATCAGTTGGTGCTTTGTTTGGACTTGCAGTGCTCTACAACGTTGGTTTCACGCTCGCGTTGACTTTTTTAAAACGTAAGAGCTTTTACTCAAGTGTGCTCTGCCTCCGCGTAATCTATATGAATTAACATATGATAGTTCTCAACACATGCAACAGCCATTGGTTCTCGTGCCATCATCTCGAAAGACCGACATTCCAAGGAGCAAGGAAATAAGGAACTTGAAAACAACAGCCCCAAAGAAGAACATAATAGTGATACTTCTCGTAGAGGTCAAGAATAGTGTCCTTAAGTTCACTTGTTTCATCAAAGCATGTGATGACCTTCTGCTTTTATACTGAAACATAGACAACTGTTTTACATTCTGTAGATGGATTGGTTTTACCTTTTGAACCCTTGACCATGGTGTTTCAGGACGTGCAGTATTATATCGAGACCGTAAACTCCAAAAAAAAAATAAAAAAAAATAGAGAACATATCAATCATATTTGAATATCTCCGTTTAACAGTTCTGTTTCCTCTCTCACAGAAAAATCTGCAGCTTCTTCATGACATCAGCGGCACATTCCAGCCTGGCGTCCTCATAGCTCTAATGGACATCAGTGGGGCCGGGAAAACGACACTTCTAGATGTGCTCTCTGGAAGAAAAACCAGTGGCATTGTAGAAGGTGAAGTAAGAGTCGGAGGGTACCCGAAGGTTCAGAACACATTTGCCAGGATCTCGGGTTACTGTGAACAAAACTACATTCATTCCCCTGAAATTACCGTCCACGAATCCCTTATTTTCTCCGCATGGCTGCGCCTTGATCCTCAAATTGATTCCAACAGGAAATACGTACGACTTGTCCTAAAGTCTCGACATCACAAAACTTGAGGCAAATAAATTGGTTATTTGAATTTTATTACTGTAATTCTATTTTTTCAATAGGAATTTGTGAAGCAAGTCCTGGAGACCATCGAGCTAGAGGGGATTAAGGATGCATTAGTGGGCACGCCAGGAGCGGATGGCTTGTCGACCGAGCAACGCAAGCGGCTCACAATAGTTGTGAAGCTTGTGGCTAACCCATCGATTATTTTCATGGACGAGCCCACGACTGGGCTGGACGCAAGGACTGCATCTGTTGTCATGCGGACAGTGAAGAACGTGGCCAACACCGGAAGAACCATCGTCTGTACCATTCACCAGCCGAGTATCGATGTATTTGAGACGTTCGATGAGGTAAACATATGGAAATTTATATTTATATCTTTTGACTAGTTTTAGTGCTAATGTATAAAAATTGTACCTGCGTAAAGTTGGTGCTCTTGAAAGCCTGAGGTCGCATGATTTATTGTGGGCCCTTAGGGAAGCACTCTATAAAGTTATATTGGTTATTTTGAGGTGAATACTCTCTTGTTCCTCTTTTTTTTTTTTTTTTTTTTCTTCGCGAATCGGTATTCATTTTTTGTGGAAAACTGATTTACAGTTCCATTTTTAATTTGTAACAGGGAATATCGGGTGTGCCAAGGATACAAGCTAACTACAATCCAGCAACATGGATGTTGGAGATCACTTCCGTTTCATCAGAAGCCAAACTCGGCTTAGACTTTGCAGACATTTACAAAAACTCTAGTTTACACAAGTGAGTGGTCACATACATAGTACTTTAAACCTGATGACGACTTGGGTATCTACACAAGTACATAATGTTTCTTTTGCATTCAGTATGTACATCACCAAAATATGTTTGGGTTTCAATTGTTTAAAGAGTTAACAAAGATCTCGGACAGAAGCTGAGTATTCCGCCACCCGGTTCGAAGGACTTGCATTTTGAGAGACCTTATGCACAAAACAGCTGGGGACAGTTCAAAAGCTGCCTTTGGAAGCAGCACTTTTCCTACTGGAGAAGCCCTTCGTACAACTTGATGCGATCCCTTCATATGCTTTTCTCGTCTTTTCTTTTCGGCATCCTATTCTGGAATCAAGGCCAAAAGATGTGAGTAGACTGTCCCAAGAAAAAAAAAACAAATATAGTATTAAACGGTTGTTGACCTTTTAATATATTCATTTGTTTATGTGTTAGAACATGAAGGTACTTTGTAGGTTTGTCTTAATCTCAACTTACGTAGTTGTTTCTTGGTTGATATTTGTTTCAACTCTTATTCGTTCATGTATTTTGCTTCTTTGTTGGTGTAACATCACATATATATATATATATATATATATAGAGGGATTGGTTCCAATGCATCCCATTATTTAAAGTGAGGACGTGAGACTCATTCCTAGCCACAAGATTTAGATCTTGATTTAAATAATAGTTTTTTATTTTTATTATTTAATTCTTTATTTTTAATTATTTAAATATTATTATGACCATTGACCATTGACTCCGGCGTTGACTTCCGGCGAAAATCGTTGACTTCCGGCGTTGACCGTTGACTCCGGCGTTGACTTCCGACATTGACCGTTGGCCATTTGTCTTTTGTTATGTTATTTCTTTCTTGTTAGGTTAGTTGTGTCTTGTTGCTAGGTTAGTTGTTTGTTGTTGCTAGATTAGTTATTTGTAGCTGCTATGTTAGTTGAGTTTTGTTGCTAGGTTATTTTTTTCTTGCTGCTAGGTTAGTTGTCTTTTGTTGCTAGGTTAGTTCTTTC